GGAGTCCCCCTTTCTTCCCAAACAGAAACATCTGGGGTTTTGGATCTGCTAGGGGAGAGGGGTGGGAGGGGACAGAAAACCATCTGTACACACAGAAATTGTGACGCTCTTTGTTTTGTTGTTCCAGTTAATTCCTAGTTGACTCATAACAAGCAAGTGGCAAGCCCCTCCATCAGCTAGGTTGGGTGGGTAGGGGACAGCATCCAGACCCTGGGCAAAGGCACCAGCAAGAGGTAGATCAAGCATGAAGAAGGGGAAGTCATGGGTGAGCTGGGGAAGCCTTGAGCTGGCATATCTCTCATCTCTGTATGTTCCACTAGGAGCATGGCAGTGAGTTACCCACCGCTAGCTATCTGTTCCATGATCTCTGCAGCCCAGCCTCCCTCCCATCCCATCAGCACAGGTGCCAAGGAGCACCTGCATACTACAGAGGCCTGAGCAGGTTTATTTGTATCCTCACATCAAAATGGGCCCAACTTGGTGCAGTGAGGCTTGGCTTCCCTATGCTGCCTCAGGGGACTGGGTTGTGGATGCAGCCCTCTAACCTGAGCTGGGAACTGGGGTAGCTGCATCCCTTAGGTAGCTTGGAGAAGCTCAGCCTTAATATCTACCACATAAAAATATTGTATAGCTTTACCTGTGAGGGACAAGTACAAGCCTCTTGACAAGAGTCTAGAAAGCTCTCTCATTCCTGTGTGTCTTTTGTTGTATGTGATAGTTAATTCTTTGCCCCTTTGATGTCTTATACCTTTAAGATCCCCTTTAAGGACCACTGTTAGTGCAACTCAGAGGGGTCAGATTCATTTCAGTAGCCCACAACCTAGTTGAGGGTTCCCAGTGGCATCAAGTCAGCCTGAAGAAGGGTAGAGTGACACAAGGAGCTCCCAACCTGTCCCCTGCTTGGGGTAGGGGCTCAGTCCAGTCTCAACAGGGTCTGCTGCTGGTTCAGGGAAGGGGGAGAGAAGAACAGATCTGGGGCAACCTCTACAGTGCTAGAGCCTCTAGTGAATAGTGGCTCTGCCCTCCTGTTGTGAAGTCCCCAGGGGAAAGACAGCAGTGTATACCCCTTTCTTTCCACAGGAAACAATCTCATCCTTAAATGTGGTGTAATTTGCATTTGTTTGCAGCTCCACGGGGCAAATCTGGCCCTAAGCAAAAAATAGGGACTGTGTCAAGCATTTATTAGGTACCTTTGACTTCCTCCCTTGAACTCTTGTCCCTAGTCTGTCCTGACCAAGGATACTTTTAACATTCCAAACCTCTGAGGAGATTTAAAGAGCTGCCTTTGAAAAACCAACCAACCTGCCAAGAAGCATTCCTGTTCCTCCATGTCCTTGGTATGGAATATACTTCCAACTCCAAAATCACACAGATGGAGGCTCTGGATGCCTGGTGACAATGTCCAGTGTTTTGGAAAGACTCGAGTGAAAGCCAGATGCTTTTACTGCTCAAGAGGAGTGTGGAACCACTTCCGTTTCCAACCCTCATAGATCAGGAGGTGTCTTGATGTCAAAAACATGTCACAGTTGTGTATTTGAAAGGTTTTTAATGTTATCAGCTCCCCTTCTCCTCACTCCTCTGGTCAGTGGCTCAAGTAGGTCGCAATGGCCCAGAGAGGAGGGACCAGCTGTGGGACAGCACTGCTCTCTCAACCAGAGACACAAAAGGGCCCTTTCCCTCTACTTTATCTAGGCACAGGGAACAGTGCAAGAAATAGTTCCCATAGCATTCTTAGTAACTCCCTACCATTTCTGTGCCATGTAGCCTATGCAGAAGACATGATAAAGTGGTGTGAGCTAAATGTTCTAGGAGTGCTGAACTGGTTTGACTTGAATAACTCAGGCAAAGCCAGGGCATCCAGGAATAATGCAGGCACTGCAGCCCCCCAACTGACCAAATCTGTATGCCACACTGCCATATATTGCTCTTCTCTGCTATATGTTTTCATATCCACTGCATGCCTAGAGAGCCTGGCCCCAACCCAGCCCAGGCATAAGATAGAGCAGTTTGATGGAGTTTCAGATCCAGACCTGATTCAGTTTGAAAAAATTGGTCAATGAATGGGTGAAGTGTAGAGAGTTGTGTGTTTGCCGTGAACTAGTCACAGAGCAGATTGTCAAGTCTGGGGCTGCAGCTGGCTGGCATGTCCCCAGGCCGAGAGGTCTTCCCCCATTCCCACCCATGGAGGGAACATGATGTTTCTCACTTACAGGCAGGACCAGGAAGCATGAGGATGGAGAGGTAAGGGTAATCCCAACTCCTGACCCTTGAAACAGGTGCTGGACCTGATTCTCTTCCTCTTCATGCTAGCCCAGTGGAAACCTGTTCAAGCTTCTTCAACACAGAGAAATCCAGCCCTTTCAGGTTTCAAGGACTCTGAACCTAAGTCCTTCTCCTGAGTCAGGAGCCATCTGCTGCTGGAAAGGCTACAGGTATAATCCTCAATGGTAGAAAAGCAAAGCAAGACATGGCTCCCTCCTCCCCCCACATCTCCAGGTTGCAACTAGAGACTCTTCTGAAATTGATCCAGCACATTTCCTCTCACCATATGGCCTGCCCCTTCCATCTCCCCTCCATCCACTCTTCTAGTCTTCATGGCAGAAAGGGGGTAGAGAAGTTATTTTCCTCTGGTTGCCTGCTGTGTCTGCTCACCTGAAGTCTGCCTTACCTTCTGGTACAAGATCTTTGAGGTTTTGCCCACACAGCTCAAAGGTAGGTGGGCAGGGGGAGTAAGAACATGCTAACAGTGCTGTCTGTGTTCATGCCCAGAGCACAGGCTGATCCTCTGAACTGAGCAAACTGAGGGACAGGGAGAAGGCTTTCTTCCCTTGTGCATGATGTTTTGATCACGGTTATGAGCCTGATATTGGCAGAGGACACTGGAGAGCAAAAGAGAGAGTAGAAGGTATCTAAGCTGAATTCACAGGGGCCTCAATATATAAGTTAAAGGGAGCAGTAGATCTGGGCTGAGGGGTCTGCCTGTTCCACATCCCTGTCCCTTACCCTTTGCCTGTGGAGAAAGCTTGTCTGTCCCCTTTTCTGTCTCACTCCTTGAACTGTTCTTAGATGCCACAGAAGAGGGGTGGGTGGGCAGTAATGGACTTTCCCCAGAGCTGCAGGGTGGGACTCAGCAACTCTCTGGGGAAGGAGCTGCTGGCCTCGAAGCTGGAGGCAGGGGAGGCTCATATTCCCTAGGAGTGCCTGATAACACAATGTTTCCACGCTGCATGAAGCCACTGATGTCTACATATGTGTGTATGGGGCATGGGGTGGGGGTGGGAGGGGTTACTTTGGGGTCTTGTGATCACTCGTGTGTCGTGCTCTGCTTTCCCCTACCCAAATCCCCTCGCATTCCCTATGTGAGGGTTTGACACTCTGGATCTTTTCCCTGCTCTCTCAGCTAAACAGGGAAGGGGAGCAGAGTGGGGGAGGAGAGGTAAATATATTGTTATTCCCTGGATCATTTCTAGTGTCTGTTCTCACTGGTTCTCCTGCCTCTTCTCTGACTGCCCTATGCCAGCACAGGGGGAAGGGAACAAAGGGCAGAAACAGTCATTGTTCCAGTTGTAAAACACTGTGATCTTAGTGCACCATGAGTGAGAGAAAACATGCACCTGCTCCATGCCAGGCTCTCTCCCTCTCTTTTATACATCTGTGAAACGGGACTCATCATACGCGCGTGTGTATGTATCATGTATATATATATATTTTTATGTAAATCCAATTGTTGACAATAAACGTGATGTTTACATTTGATTCAGTCTTGAAGCCGTCTGGTGGGACTTCCCTCTTGTGCACAAAGGTTGTGGGGGGTAATCCCAGGAGGCATCTAGACGGACTAGTTGTACTAACTGAACAAGGGAAGTATAGTAGAACCCGTGTACTTTTTAGGGCTAGGTTCCTAACTTCTCATGTGCAGAGAAGGGTTTAGGAACCAGCTGGGGGTTTACAGAGCCACAGCCAACAGCTGCCATGGGACTGCTGAGATGCTCTAGCTGTTTGCTGAAGCTTTTATTTCAAATACAAGACATAATGCCCTAACCTGCCACAGGTAAAGCTGGGAAACCATGGTGGCCCAACATCCTGCTGCTGCAAAGGCTGTGAAAATATGCATGAGAGATCCCAAGAAAAGGGCCATGCCCTCAGGTACAGAGGAATGCAAACCCCCCCACAGTCCATACCAATCTGACCATGGGGTAGAGTTCCTTCCTGACCCCAAATATGGCAATGGTTCGACCCTAAGGAGGGAGACAAGACCCTCTAACCAGGAACCTCCAGGTCTAAGCCGCAGCAGGAGCATTGGCCCACCCCAATCACAATCCCCAGCCTTGTCTGCAGCCAATACCCAAAGCCTCTGATGAAAGGTTAAAAAACCCTGATGTATACAGCAGCCCAGCAAATGGTGGGGGGGAGCAGGAAGGAGAAGAACAGGAATTCCTAGTACCTTATAAAAAGTGATCACAGTAGGAAGAGGTCAACAATGTTTTGGGGTGAAGGATGATGCTTTAAAGGAGATTAGCTCCACGTACCTCCATGACCAACTCAGCCCACGCTGCTGCCACCAAGGCCACTGCTCTGCCTCCTACCCCTCTAAATGCCACCACTTATGCTTCTCACTGCTTCCCAGCCACTGCACAGGCAAAGCACCCCTCCATCAAAGCTCTTTACAAAAGTTCCCTGCCACCAAAGATCCGCATAAGCCCCCAGCTAGGCTGGATCTGGCCTCCAGGCCAGAGTTTGCTGACCTCTGCTCTAACTCTAACCTTTGAGGTGAGGGAAACACCTTTACAGAAGTGACAAGGGTTCACCTTTACTAAGCAGACACAGGCTGCCGGCATGGAAAACTGGTGAAGTTTACCTGGAGAAGAAGCAAACAGAAAGCTGAGGGTTGTCAGGGAGCTTTTAGGCTGGGCAAAGATGA